CTGGCGTTTATGTTAGTTTGTATACAATCATTACTCAGCATCATGTGTTGCCAGGTCCAAAATCTGCCATTAGGCCTTAAGAAGCATCAGTGCTAACCCATGATAGCTTGAAGTCAATGAAACCAATGATTAACCAATCAGTGTCTAGTTGACCTCCCTTAGGGCCAGCCTTCAGGCCTTCAGCGTCAGAGCCTGCACGTCTTTTGATTGGAGACGCGAGAGGAGATTGAGAGACGTCAATCCAGACACGTCTATTTGATAAACAAGAATCAAATGAAATTGCTATATTTTGTAGAGCGACAAGTTGTTTCTTCCACCCACTATGGCTTTTCTCCTTACAGTATGTCTTGACACAATCTCGCTGCAGCAGAGAAGAGGCCAAAAGCTGAGGTCAAAAGCTGATGGAAATGACACATGGATGTCTCATGGAATAACAGTTTATCAACAAGCAGACCTGCGGAGCTAGGCTAATTATTGTCTGACATTAAACCGGTCTGTGGCACCAAAAAGGTTGAAGATTGCTGGAGTAGCTTTTGCTGGTGTGAAATGCACGGCTCACTACTGCTTCTGAGATCTGATGGCTAATCTTTCATCTTAAACGGATGATCTACAGGTATACTGCATTTCCTATTGTGTTTAGACATTTCTTTTGCTCAGTTTTAATCCATAGGTGGATTTGAAAACATGGATTGCTTTCAGGACCACAGCAGCTCCCCTACACATTACCCAGATAACTCCACCTGTGCTGAAAACATACAACATGTAATCGAAGTGGTAATCCAGAGCTCGGACTATGATAACACATGATTTGAAAGAGAGAGGAGCGAGATGAAAGACCCATGTCAACGGTTAAACAGTCCTCAGTCCTCAGTAACATCCCGGTGGTACATTTGCATTTCTTCGTTACATCCTTGTTAACACGGAGCCTAATTAGAGCTGCATAAACACACATATGCAGATGCTGGGCCCGCCTCCCTGTTGAATTACACCAGCGTTTATTTAAGGAGTTTTTAAGAGAAGCCCAGTGGAGCATGTCAGCGATCTCCCAGCAGGGCCTCGCACCGCTGTCAGTACAAACCTGCTCAAACGGATGAGAACAAAACTAACAAAGTAAAGAAGAGAGACAGCCCTGGCCCTCTCATTACCGCCACATGTTCCATTTGTGTGTGTCGGATTCGACCAACGGTGAAGGTTTGTGTAGGAGACTGGAGTTTCAATCAGAGAAGGCTGATGGAGAGAATCTAAAGCAGAAGAAGAGCCAAAGCTAAGGACTTACTTACAAATTAAAGATGCATTTGAAACTGAGTTGTATGTAAAGGCAAACCTGACAAGGAACCAAAGATCTTTGATGGCTCAGCTGCGAACTGGCATCCTTCCCCTGGCCATAGAAACTGGCAGGTTCACTCAAACTCCTGAAGAGGACAGACTCTGTAGACTGTCTGACTTAGGAGAGATTGAAAGTGAAACTCATTTTGTGTTATATTGTCCACAGTACGATGATCTTAGAAATGTATTGTTTGGTGAATTGTTTGTTCAAAAGCCTGAAATGTTCTGGATCAGTGATGACGACAAGATTAAATGGTTGTTTACTTCTAATGTGTTTAAATTGGCTTCTTTTGTTTGTAAAGCCTGGTTGAGGCGGCAGACTTGTTTGTTTAAATAAGTTTATGTATTGTATAGTGTGCCTATTGTCTGGCATCTGGTGCTTTTGTTGGTGTTATTGGTGTCTTCAAAAGCCCATTAGGGCTGGGCATACAGTGTGTATGCAAGACACAATAATAAAAACTATTCATTCATTCATTCATTCATTCATTCATTCATTCATTCATTCTATGACCAGTGTGTGTTTGTGTTGTCCTTATCTTCTGCAGAAGACATGTTTTATTGTCAATGGTAGAGACAGCACGAACAACACACACACAGATACAACAGAAGGCAAGTGTATTATACAGAGCGGAGGCATGGAGACCTCCAATCAGCAGCTGCCACGGTGCCATGTAGCTTGGCCTTCAGATAGACAAAACAAGGGAAAAGTATTGGCTTCTGCATAGTGATAGAACGATGAGTTTAACTTAAACAAAAGTTGCTTAAAAGTGTTATGAAATCTCACAAAGGTTTATCTTATCTTGAGTCATTATTTGTATTACTATTATTTATTTATTTATTTGGTTGGTGTCCAACAAAATACATTAAGCAAAAACAGTTAACATTCACAAAAAGACATTTTCACAGACCGAAAGGGTTTGGGCTGAAGTTATACACTTATTACGCCTATCCCTATTTACAAAAGCAAAAACAAGTACAAGATGTAGCAAGACCGCAAGAAATGAGCTCGAGCTTCAAATGAAAGAAGAAGAAGAGAAAAAAAAAACATTTATTCTAGAGTAATATATTTTTCTATGACATTGGTCTTAAATGTTTTTTTAAATGTGTGAATTGAGCAAGAACATGTTAAAGCGTCATCTAAGCTATTCCAAAGTTGAACCCCTCTGATTGAAACACATCTTTTCTTTAGACTAGTTCTCACATTAGCTTTCCGAAAAGCATTTGAGCCTCTGAGATTGTACGGACTCTCTCTGGGTTTGAACCTCTCCTGGATACGCGGGGGCAGTGACTGATTATAAGCTTTGTACATCACTAATGCAGTGTGGAGGTCAACAAGATTATGGCGTTTTAATGTTTTTGATTCATTAAAAAGAGTCATTACAGTGAGTTGCAGCAAAACTTTGTCAATGAGCTCTTCCCTGTCTGGCGTCTTTGAGCTAGCAGATTAGCATCATCCATCTATAGACAGTCTACGGGTTTAAGATGGTCGGAATCATACATTTCGCTGACACTACTTAAATTTGTTATCGTCTTGTTTTCCGCTCTGATTCATCTGGATTTATAATCTTTTATAATCCTGTAATCCTCCTGGTTACGTAAAAAACATAATACTACTACTACTTTGGTTGTCTGAATCTTAAATTAGCCATCTTTCAAAATCATCTGCAGCCCTGTTTAAAGACAAGAGCTATGTTTCCAAACCTGAGTCTTAGTTTCAGCGATGTAGACGGGGCCTGTCAGGGTTCACTCTCCAGATGGAAGCGTTTCATTTAGTATTTATTTATTTATTTATCAGTCTAATGCCGAGGCTCCCGGAGGAAAGCAGCTGTTGCCTTTTGGCTCAGCTCCAGCGGGGGACACATGTAGAAGAGTCCTGTCACTGTCAGTCCCCATTGAGCAGATTTAATTAGTGATTTATGCTCCGTTTACAGTCAGACAAGGCGGGTGCGGCAGCGGGGGAAGAATTAGAAAGTGAGCGTTTATGAATGTAAGTCCAGCTGTCTAATGTGGCTGTAGTATTGTGCTTTGTCTGCTGTCGTTATAACCTTGATTCAATTCAATGTGTTTTACAAAGTTGATGATTCCTCAACAATAAATCAGAGAATCTAGTGGTTTGAATGCAAGAAATGCAATAATAACAAATGCATTTTGTTCGTTTCAAAGTAAGTCAGGAGCCAGAGCCAGAAGGTGCAAAACTTTGTTCATGAGCATTTCCCTATTGGGCTTCGTTGAGCTAGTGGGTTAGCATCGTCCATCTGGCTGTTACCACGATGTGTTGTTGTTTGAAATCTGAAATATTATAAAAACTACAGAATTTCTCTTTAAATATACATTTTAGAGAAAAAATATTATTTAAAGTGAAAATGTCATTTTCTTTGCAAAACATTCAATTGCATTTTCTATTATTTCAATATAAATATGTTGCTTTAAGTGCAGTGGTGACAAGGAAATAATATATAATTGAAGCGATGATCAAATGCAGAACACTTAGAGCTGGTTTATTTCACATCTTGTGCGTGTCTCATACTGTACAGTATCACAATTTTATCTGTGTATTATTGTGTTGAATGAGTGAGAGGGGTCTGCTTCATCCAACCCCTTTTCAAACGTGTATTACTGTGAAGGTATGTGGAATTTTGTTCTGCAGGTTTGAAATAAATCTAACTAACTAACATGGCTAGTAAGTAAGTATTCTTATTTCTAAACCGCCTTTCACATACCAGAGTCACAAAGCGCTTTCCAATTGTTGTGAGCATTTGTCTCTCACTCCACACAGAGATGGGAGCGGGGTCGCCATACCGAAGGTGCATGCCAGACCTATTGTACATGTTTTTAGTGATAGGGGAAACCGGAGCACCCAGAGGAAACCTAATCAGACACGGGGAGAACTCGCAAACTCTGCTTGCTGAGAAGCGAGAGTGCTATCCACTCATCCACTTCCGCTTTTGTCAGTTACTTTTTTGTCTTATTAAAAGCTTCTGAGCCTTAAACATACAGTAAGAAGACAAAATAAAATTTTTACATTTCGCAATTATAATAATTCAACTAACTTGTTCAATATAACTGTGCCCTATTGTATCTACAAGGATGAACAACTGGTCCTCTGCAGTATAGAGCAAGAAGTACATTTTCCATTTGTGCCAAAATGCCCAAATCGTCAAATACATAAAAACATGCAATAGTCATATTATGTTTTCTACTGAGATGGACACAGTATGTTGTTGTCAGATTTCTACAGTAAGTCCTGCTAAAGTACATTTCTGAGGATGAAAAGTGTTCATGTTGAACCATTAAAAGTAGTTTCAACTTGAGCTGACGAGGGACTAAGGACTAAACAAAGACCGTCTCTAGTTCAGGAGGTTCCTCTTTGACGGCTGCGAAAGCAAAGACATTTTAAAATACAATACATCCAATAATAACCGGCTCCATCTGACTGTGGGAGAAAGTACGTCTGTGTGCCTCCAAACACCAGTGTTCTCTGTGGTGCGTTCTTGCATCATTTCAAAATGGCGACAGTATCAGAACAATCTTTTCACAAACACTTTTTTAAAAGATTGTGCAGAAGTTAATTTCTTGTCACATTGTAAAAGTTTTGAAAAAAGTAACTGCATGTCTATTCTAAACATTCTTCTCCAGTGTGTGTGTGTGTGTGTTTGTGCACACACTGGACTCACCTGTCCATTCTTCTTGAGGTCGGCCCACATGCTGGTCCCGTCTCCGCCCCTCATCAGGACGTGGTAGGTGAAGTAGTAGATGCCGGGCAGAGGGCAGGTGAACTTCCCGGTGCTCGGCTCGTAGTAGTTTCCCACATTTGTCACAACGTCGTCAAACTTGAGGACCTCGCTGCCCTCGTGCTGCTTCCTCAGCCCGGCGTAGAAGGCGATCTTAGGGCTGTAGGTGGACCGTTCGTATCCCCCTGTTCCTGGCCCAGGCGGGCCTGGTGGGCCCGGTTTACCAGGTTCTCCTGGAGGTCCTTTAGGCCCCGGGGGTCCGGGCAGACCAGGGCTGCCCCTGAAGCCCTGTTTGGCTCTGCGGTTTGCATAGTCTGGAGGCAGAGGCGACACTGCTGTGAGCTCCCCCTGTGGTGGAGTGAAGCCATCGCAGACCATCTTACAGCTGCCTAACATCTCGTAGGAGCCCCCTCCCCCCGCCGCCTTGGTGCTGTGCACCAGCAGAGGAATGGCCACCAGCAGAACCAGCACCATGGCCACGCCCACCCCGGCCCCGATCACACGCTTCTTTCTGCTGATGCGAGATGCGGCCAGCGTGAGGAAGTCCTCCTCGCCTTTCGCTGGAACGCTTGTGCCGGCCAGGCTGAAGCTGAAGCACTGACCTAACGTGAAAATATATTTTACAAGGATTTGCGTTTGAGAATCAGGATACAGAATCAGGATACAGCTAAAGAGAATACACAATTAGGCTTTTCCATTTGTATCAGCACCACTCACTGAAACAAAGCCGGCGTGTGTGTGTCGCAGAGCAGGTCCCAGAGGAGCTGGGTTTGGCCCCAGAGACTGAGGAGGCTGCAGAGAGCGGAGCTGTCAGGTCTGTGTTCCCACAGGAGTCCATCTCACACACGTCCAGAGGAACGCCTTCGACTCACTGCTGCTGGTTCCACTTCAGTCGGACTCAGTAGCAGCCGCAGCAGAGGGCCGTATCCCGTGTGGAGAAGAAGTCCTCTAATGCTTTGTGTGAAGCAATCTGAAACAGAAAAGAATACATTGAAAATTAAAGTAATATTCATGCATCAAACATCCTCCAGCCTGTTTGAGACACTCAAATAGAGTTTACAAAACAGAACAAGACAACAGAGGTATAACAAAGATCATATCATAATAACTAAGCGTGTGGAAAACAAATCATTGATCATATGTTTCATAATTTCTATAATTTAGGCCTAAACATGTATTCAAGACAATCATCTCCCTGGGAAACGTTAAATTTAACCTTTGGTTAATGTTAGATCATGTGAGTTCACAAAATACTGTGAACAAATAATATAAAGTAATATGATGAGTTATAAGCAAGTTCACATTGTGAAACAAAAAAAAAGAAAAAAAAATCACCTTACGACATATAAAACAATAATCTATCGCTGATAATAAATGATTGATAGTGGATATCTATAACTTCATAGTGTAAACCCAGTTGTGAACCAGAGTCATAACAGAGCATTTTCTTATGAAATAAATTAACATCATCATCAAACAATAATGATTTGAACCGAAATACACACTTTGCTCATCACAGGTTGTGCAGATGTATGAGATTACATTCTGTAGTATTAAAAGTGTTGGCTGGTAAAAGGGAAGAGCTCTTTTGACTTCTTTTCATTCATGTTTTTTCTATCCACAAACAGTATATATATTATATTATATTCAACAGTCGTCTCGAACTTCACGTCTTGCTTTTCTGATTGCATAATATAAAACGATTAGAATCAAAATAACAATGCATGCCTCTGTTGATTAAAGATGTATTAGATGATAGGGGAATAAATACGGAAATCATCATAAATTGCGAATAAATGTGCACTTACTGAGTTTGGCTCTCGCTCCTTTTCCTCGCGGCTCCTGGAGAAATGACAGCGGGAGAATTGTGTCCAAACACCGCTAAAATCTAAAATCAAAGTTGAATGAAAACGCTCCGGAGTCTCATTAGAATAAAACTTGTTCAACTCTTCATCACCCTCTCCATCATCCTCATCCACAGACAGTCCTGGCTGCGCGCGCTGGGACAGACGCGCGGTTGTTTAATTGCGTTTCCAAAGCCGCGGACCTCGGACCACGGTATCAGGTCATTATCTCCACGGAGCAACAGTTCCTTCACTTGTTGTCTGCTCCGTGATGATGATGATGCTCCCCGTCGCTCTCCGCGGTCCGCCCGCCTCTCGCGCCTCTGGACCCCGCCCCCACACGCGCGGCTGCCCGGTCCCTGCTCTGCCCTTTTTACCGCTCCGATGTGCAGCCCACACGCGTCACATTGGAAGGAGTTGATGTTGCAGCTCGAGGTGTTTTTATGTATATTTTCCTACAAGTGCTCGGAGTTATTCATCATCAGTGTTTGAATTATAGTCAACACTTACACTATACACCCAAAGCAGTCATTTTGACGGGTTTTCGTTTTGGGGGGTAATTACTCAGGTTATGTACATTCTTGGTCGTTATTATATTATATTATCTGCATATAAATGTAGTTTTTATTTCATTGTTTTTTATTTCATTGTCTTTTATTTATCTTTTATGCGAAACATTTTTTATTAAAATGTGGCCATTTTCTGCCCGGAAACCAACATTCTATGGCAGTGAAAGCCCCCTTTCTCCAAGGTGCTGGTCCTGGACTGGTTCTGAGCCGAATCAGCATGGTACAGTTACCATAGCAACACACTGTACCTACAGCAGTTACCATTTGGTCTTTAGAACTAGACTTTCAACAGACTGTTTTAGCTGTATTTAAAATTATATTCACCAGTTAGTAAAAAATGTTTTAAAAATGTTTCAAAAACTCAACCTTTTTGGGGAATTCCTTAGTGTTCCATTGGTTCGAATGGAAACAGTCCAAATGATGGCTCTGGGAATTCTAGCACTTTCAGAATTCTCTGAGTAATATTATTGATACTAATAATGAAGGTGCCAAACATTTTTCAGAATATTTTTTTTTTCCACAACGAAGGGTCCTGTAAAAGAAACACACACAATCAGACTATGTTCTGTTGTCTTCAACTAAATAGAAAGTATTCTATCTTTTGCATATACGTCACTATTGGACGCCTTGGGCTGAGGATGGAAGAGGATGGAAGTGTAGAAAAAAAGCAAGAAAAACACAAAACAACAACTGTTGTCCTCAGAGCTACTAGGACTTGCTGCAATATCCAGCGCATTCCTCAATGCACGTTAACTTTGATATAAATGACATTCTGAAGTTTTAATTCACACAGAAAAGTCACGCAGAAAAGTCACACATTTAATCTAATACAAACAATAAATAAGAAATGTAACAGTAACAGTAAACTGCTAGAACTCCAGAGCATAGTCTGAGAATTCCAATCAATGGAATTCTGAAAGAAATGCCAAAGGTTTCAGTGTTTTTCTTAAACACTCAAAACTGGTGAATTTAACTCAATTAAACAGTTTGTTGAAACGCTAAATGCTGTCAAGTAAACAGCGTGTTGTTGGTAACTAGCTCCAAGCTGAGATTGGTCAGAATCAGGACCAGCACGTTGAGAAAACACTGCCATAGAATGTTGGTTGCTAGGTGACCAAAAATGGCAACATTTTAAAGTTTTATTTTCACTTACATTTCAGAAATGAAATATTGTTTAATGAAAAGTATGGCAGAGAAATGAAATACATATAGACCTAAAGTGAAAAACTTAGGAAGAGAAAACAATAAACTGAGTTACTTCCAAAGCCGTCAGATTGACTGCTCTATAGGAGTTGAATGTTAAAGTAAAAACAATTAAATTGAACCAATTTGGAAACAATCCTTTGGTTTTAAAAAGGAATATAGATCTGTGCGTGACGTCATGGTCTGGGATTTACCACAGCGAGTTTGAAAACAGAGTTTAGTCAGAAGGGGTGGGGGTAGGTCTGTTTCTGATCCAACGTCTCCTGAGGTGACACCATGTAATGTCTGGCATCAATGATCACTACGTTTCTCCACACAATCAAACCGAAAACAAAAAATACATTTGTTTTGAAGTATTTGCCGAAATGTGTGTTGTCATGGTCACGGTTTAAGTTCAGGGCATGAGCAGTGGACATGTCTCAGCAGGTGAGGAGGAGGTGGGCTTCAGGACTGAGGGCCATGAAAGAGCGAGGAGAGAGAGGAGAGAGACGGGAGAAGAGAGAGATGAGAGAGAGGCGAGAGATGAGAGAGAGAGGAGAGAAAGGGGAAAGAGGAGAGAGAGGGGAGGGAGAACACATGCTGAGTGGAGTTTGCATGTTCTCCCTGTGTCTGCCTTAGCTCCTGCTGTTTTACTGACTTTTTTTGCTGATGTGAAACCTCTGCAGTGACAAAAACACAACTTTATTTTTCAAAGTACTTTAAAGGTTATGCAGTTAATGTATTGCATATGGATGAAAAAAGAGCAAGACCTGAAGATGGAATTCTCAATGTATGATTTAACAGACATGACAGGATTCTGAGGAGCACAGGGACTGGCCTCCTTCTGGGACTCTGAGAAGCACAGGGTCTGGCCTCCTGCTGGGACTCTGAGGAGCAGAGTCTGGGACAGTCTTCCAGAAAATGTGAGGCAGGTTTATTCTCTGACAATGTTCAAATCTAGGTTAAAACAGTTCTGTTTACCTGCGTACAACTGAAGGATTGTATCTTCACTCCTTAGTGGGCGCCGGTGGCTGAGTGGTTAGCACGCTTCTTAGCAAGGAGGTCCTGGCTTCAACTCCCAGTCCGAACAGGGTCTGTCTTGAGTTCAGTTTGCATGTCCTCCTTGTGTCTGCGTAGGGTTCCTCCAGGTGCTCCGGTTTCACCTACCAATGAAATCATTTACATTAGGTTAAATCCATCAACATCTGGAAATGGGCCCCTGCTACGGCGGTCACTGCTCCAAACAGAGGCCCTAGTGGCAATGAAGGAGGGATCGAAAGCCGAGGACACATTTCTCTACGGGGACAATAACAAAAACTTAACTAAAACATGCACTCGGAGAGCACATACCCCTCCAACAACATACCCTTCAAACCATCACTTGTCACTTGAATGGGATTATATTTAGAGCTTATTATTTACAGCTGCTGTCAGCGAACTACACTTTATGTGTAATTTGCAGAAGGAATAAACTTTAGGTTACTTGCGTAACCCCGGTTCTCTGAGTAGTATGAGTGAGATGTCTCACTATGGGAACGCCCCCCTCGGGTGTTCACAGAAGCCCTATACCATTACGCCAGCCCTGAGTGGCTGGCAGTGGTGACGTCGCGACGTTGGCACCCACTATAAATGCCACTCGTACGACGTCACCCGCCATTCAATAAGCACACCTCTTCTCGCTTCACCCCCAAAGCAAGAAGGGCGATCTGGTGAGACATCTCACTCATACTACTCAGAGAACCGGGGTTACGCAAGTAACCTAAAGTTCTCTTTCATAGTATTCGTTTCGATGTCTCACTATGGGATATGGAGACTCCCGTATTGCCAGACAAGCTTATCGCAAATGACATGATGCCAGCCAAAAACCCATGAGAGAGCCAAAGATCAGGGCATGTCTTCAGGACAACCCACGCTGAGGACGGCGTGAGACAAACCCTGAGACGTGACGTCCAACCTGTAAAACCTTGCAAAGGTCAAGGAAGAAGACCAACTAGCATCAGCACAAATGTCCTGAATAGGCACACCCCTGAAACAGGCCCATGAGGTCGCCAGGCCCCTGGCAGAATGGGCCCTAAGGCCAACCGGGACCTGCAGGCCTGCCGTGGAATAAGCCAATGATATGGCCTCCACCACCCAATGAGAAAGCCTCTGTTTTGAAACAGGCTTTCCTCTGTGAGGTTTTGCCCAAGACACAAATAGCTGGTCCGCCTGTCGAAATGACCTGGTCCTCTCAACATAGGCCTTGAGAGCTCGGACAGGGCACAGCCTGTGCGACTCCTGATCCTCAATAGAAGAGCCGAGTGGGGAGCGAAAAGCCTCCACAACGACCTGGGTGCAGGCACCAATCACTTTTGGGATAAAAGCTGGATTGGGACGCAGAGTCACCCTGAGATTATCAGCACTGAACCGCATACACGTAGGGTGCGTAGATAAAGCAAGGATATCACTGATACGTTTTGCTGTGGCCAAAGCTACCAGCAATATAGTCTTCAATGATAACGTCTTCAAGTCAATGTCCTCCAATGGTTCAAAAGGATGGACAGAAAGAGCCTGCAGAACCACAGCCAGATCCCACGAAGGGGACATGGTCCTGGACACAGGCAGTAATCTCCTAGCTCCCTTCATAAAACGACAGATCAGCGGATGCTGGCCCACAGTTTTGCCATCAAAGCCAACATGACATGCCGAAAGAGCAGCCAGATAAACTTTGATAGTGGAGAAAGCCTTTTTCTTTTCAATAAGGTCCTGGAGGAATGACAAAATGACATTCAAGGGACAATCGAAAGAAAACACCCCCTGTGAAACGCACAATCCTCAAAAACCTTCCACTTACGGTCATACAGAGACCTCGTGGAAACAGCCCTGGCGCTCTGAATGGTATTGATCACATTCTGAGGGAGACCAGCCGCAGAGAGACTCAACCACTCAGGGGCCAGGCCCGTAGTGCAAGTCTCTCGGGGTGAGGATGAAACACCTCCCCGTTCGCCTGGGTCAGAAGATCCCTGCGTAACGGGAGAGTCCAGGGGTGCCCGCACAGTAACTGTTTGATGTCCGCCAGCCAAGGCATGGACGGCCAGTGCGGGGCTATCAGAACCAGCCTCAGGTGACGTTCTCTTACTCTGAGGAGAGTGGGAGGAATCAGCGCTAGAGGCGGAAAGGCATATAGCGGCACCTGAGGCCACTCGTGAGAGAACGCGTCCACTCCCAGAGGCGCATGGTGATCGTGTAGGGAGAAGAACAGTGGGCAGTGAGCATTCTCTGTGGATGCGAACAGATCCATCGATGCGTGGCCAAACCTGATCCAGATCTGGTCCATAACCCATGTGTTCAGACGCCACTCTCCGTATAGGGGGTTCCCTCTGGACAGGAGATCTGCGCCCACATTCAGAACGCCGGGAACATGCGTCGCTCTTAAAGATAAGAGGCGCGCATCGCTCCACAGGAGAAGCTTGCGCGTGAGCGCGAGCAAGCAGCGGGAGCGCAGTCCCCCTTGGCGATTTATCTGAGCCACAGTGGCTGTGTTGTCCGTCCTCACCAGCACATGGTGCCCCTGGAGGAACGGGAGAAAATGTTTCAGCGTAAGTGCCACTGCCATGAGCTCCAAATAATTTATATGAGCGCGGCGGAGGTGAGGACTCCATACCCCGTTTACGGGTCTGCCCTCGAACACACCGCCCCAGCCCGTGAGGCAAGCATCTGTGGTCACCACCTTCCTGGACGAGACAGTGCCTAAACTCACCCCTTCGGTCAGAAGATCCTTCCTGTGCCACTCTCTTAATGCGAGCGCGCACTGAGGAGTTACCCTGACTGTGCGCATACGGTGACGTACGGGATCCAGCTTTAGCGCATGCACCCAGAGTTGGAAGTTCCGCATGTGAAGCCTGCCTAACTTCACAACCATAATCACCGAAGCCATCAGACCCAAAAGTCTGAGACACAGACCGAAGGAAACTAGTTTCCCTGGAGAGAAACGAAGTAGCGTCCCCACAAATTTGCGCACCCTCTCTGGAGAGAGACGGGCCATGTAACCGACAGAGTCCAGTTTGAGACCCAGAAACAGAATGTTCTGACTGGGTTGTAACACACTCTTGGTTGTGTTGACAACAAATCCCAGACCGAGCAGATGTTTGAGAACCACATCTGTTTGAGTGACAGCCTCCCCTCGCGTGCGCGCCAGGAGGAGCCAATCGTCCAGATAAATAGCCAGACGTATTCCCCGCTCTCTGAGGGGGGATAACGCGGCCTCGGTGCATTTTACAAACACCCTCGGACTTAGAGAAAGGCCGAAAGGGAGCACTGTGTATTCGTAAGCTACGCCTTGAAACAGAAACCGTAGGTATTTCCTGTGAGGCGGATAAATTGGAATGTGAAAATATGCGTCTTTCAGATCTATTGATGTGAACCAATCGTCTGGGCGCACTAAACGGATCAAGGCCGAGTGTGTGAGCATTCGAAACTTGTATCTCCTTAGATACGAATTCAAAGCTCTTAGATCCAGAATGGGGCGAAGACCGCTTCCCCCCTTCTTTGGAACCAGAAAATACCTGGAATAGAAACCGCTCCGCTTCAGTTCCGGTGGTACAATCCGTATGGCCTTTTTCTGTAGCAAAGAGGATATTTCCTCTGCCAGAATGACGGCTGATTGTCCTTGTGCCTGACAAGACAACAGGCCGTTGAATTTGGGAGGCACGGCGGCAAACTGCAGTCTGTAGCCCCGTGTTATCGTTCCAAGCACCCACTTCGAGTCTGTGCATTTGCTCCACTGCTCCGCTCTTAGAGACAGGGAGGGCAACGTTGCACCTGCCACCAGACTGATGTGTGGAGCTTTGTCGCCCTCTACTGACAGAGGGCTGGTGGTGGAACCGGGTTGGACTGCGCATGCGCGGTCTGTAACCATGGGGACACGCTGACTGGGGACCAAGAGGGTGGTATCGCCCTCTGTTGGCCCGAGACGAGCGCTCAATGTATTTTTCAACATTTTTTTCTTTTTTAATTCTTTTAAAGTACAATACTGCGCCCTCAGCGTTACGCCTGGATGCGTCAGTGAACTTTTTAATTGCATTTTTGAGTGTATGTGTGTGTGCTTGGGAGACTTGTGAGGCACGGGACACTCCAGCACATGAACCACGTCTCTCATCCTCTTGATCAGGACTCTCCGGGGACTCGCCGGGTCCGGACCAGACGGAGAGGGGCACACCACGCCACCAGGGAGAACCACCTCCTGTGGCACACTCACAGGGTCGAACAGAACCGGAACCGGGTCGACCCTGTTGATTAGCAGCGGGGTGGACTGCTAAGACGCCTTCTTCCTCCTCCTCTGCTGCTGAGACGCACCCGTGGGCGGCGCAGCAGCCTGCGGGGTGGCAGAGCCCGTGGCCCTCTTGGGCCACACGGGTCTGCCCACCGGAGGGCCAGCTGATCCCGTGGCAGGGGGTTGAGGTTTTGGTCGTTGCGGGACGCGGAATGAGGGATTAAAGCCGGGTCTGGGGCTCACACGAGACATATTTGACCTCGGGAGCGCTTGAGTGGCAGCTGGCTGCTTACGCGGGAGACAGAGGTGAAGCGCCTCGTCATCCCGCTTCCTGGCTTCGCACCTCTGTTGCATGGAGGAAAGAGCTGAGCCAAACACACCCTCTGGGACCACCGGCATGTCCAATATGTCTTCCCTCTCCCTGTCAGACAAATTGGTCAGGTTTAACCATCGCGCCCTTTCCTGCAGCACCAACATGCCCATACATTTCCCCACAGCCTGAACTGCGCAGCGTTGAACACGTAAGCATAGGTCAGACACAGTGGTAATATCGTCCCATGCAGCACTGTCAGGGACGGTGGACATGTCCTCAAATAGCTCCGCTTGGTACGCAGTCAGCATAGACGTAACATTAAGAGCCCTGACCGATAGAGCGGCTGCTTTGTACGCTCGCTCAGTCATGGTGGACTGGAACCGGTCAGCTTTTGAGGGGTGGGCAGGTGGTCTGGTGGACGTGGCCGAGAGCTTCGGGTGAAGATGGGCCGCCACCATGGGCTCGGTCTGAGGCATACGAACCATACCGAGTTTGTCCATACCAACAAAGTCCAGAGAAGAAGCGCCCAAAATGGGGCTCTTATTAGAGTAGGGATGGTCTTTCCAAGAGGCTGACACTTCCTCGAGAAGCTCTGGAAACACCGGGAGAAGCTGTCGCGCTGCCCGTTTAGCCTGGGGTAATTTCTTCCCCTCGTAGCGGGAGCGGGGAGCCTCCGCAGCGACCGGGGGCCACGGGATGTCCAGCCTGTCTGCACAGCGCGTTTGCACACGTCATGCAGATCAGCGCTGAGCGATGGCTGGGCAGCTCCGCTATCATCCCTAGCCTGAGCCGTAAGCGGA